AGCGCGTCACGCGTTGCGTCGTCCGTCGCGTCACGATTAATCGACCAAAATATCCCATTTTATTGCATCATTTGCCGCGCGACTCCTTGCGCGACGCATCAATTAGGTTATTCGACATTCTAGAGATAAAATAATCTTTTTCTGTATGAAATCCAGGATCGCGCGGCAAATTACGGAATAAAATGGAATGTTTTGATTGGTCAATTCGGATAACGCGACGCGTAACGTGCTCAGTGGGAACGCACCCTGATGCGACGCAAGTCTGACTCGAATGCGACTACTCTCCGAGAATCTCATGCTGGACTGTCATAGCAAGTAGTAACGCCAATGTAGTTGTCTCCATTTTCGCCCCTTCCTCGCGTAATTTCCTCAGTTTTCTGTTCATATTCTGGCGTCGCGAACGATAGGACGGTTTTTCATACCGCGTTCTTCCAAAAAAAAGGTCGAACATTTGTAAATGAAAAACTAGAGGAAGAAGCATCGCTTGTCTACCCAGTCTAAATAGTGGCGTTGATGCGGTATGAAACAGCGTGAGCGTGGATTTTCATCGGTTCCCACCTTGCAGTAGTCAAACGTATATGTAAGCGAGCACTTACTGACGAGTAAACAAAAATGGATGTGGAAGAGGGGGAGGCGAAAATGTGCAGGCTCTGCGGCCAGTACGAGAGAATTTGCATCGATGTGTTTGGTGAGGAAGGTATCAAACGCTTCCTTGGTCTCAAGATTTACAAGAAAATTAACATCCTGGTGAGTTAGACCGCAGCATCGTACTTTTCAATCTTGATACTTTGTCCTCGCTTTCCCTCTCGAACCCGGATATAGGGTTAGAAAAAAATAGTTGCAAGAGAAAGAGAAAAAACTTTTCATACCTTTGTCTTTCTACTACGTTTCTTTCCAACGTTCCAAAATAGTAGGCATATTTATATGCGATCTTGTTTATTCGTTGTATGTATTGCTTTATGTTTCACGTTTGTCAGTGCCTTTTTTCAAAATCAAGAATATCAATACTTTTGATTGAAATATAAACCATGATACATTTAACAATAATTTATTGCTGTCTGCGGTATGCTTTACTGTTTCTCAAAATATTTTAAAATAATTACAATGTTCTTTAAATAATCAATTACTTTAATTGAACATACAACTTTTTAATGTTCAACATAACTTAATTAACAAAGGGATTAAAGCGATTTATGTAATGTTAAAATTTTGCAACTAATCTCTTTGTTTACTTATTTTCAGCTGTGTTCCAAAATTCATTGCCAACACTGAAAATCTATTGCTTACAAAAGATTTTCAGTACTGATAGTGAATTTTGGAATATAGCCTTTATTATCAACTTTCTTTGTTAAGAAATTAGAAAGATTTCAATGAATCAATATATTGTAATCATTAAATTCTATTTTAAATTGTATTTGTGGTATTTCATCATAACAATATTTAATGATAAATGAATTCTAAAATATATAAGTTTTAAGAAGAAATTGAAAAATATTGTCATATCAGGAATGTATTGATTTTTAATAATAATAGTCTTTTTTAACACATATTTCATAATCTCTAATTAGAATAATAAAAAATTTATACTTGCTCTGCAATTAATAATAGATATTTTATGTAAGTTTAAAATTACTTTATCAACGAGATTTTAGCGGAATTTTCTGTCAAATTGTTATTGCTATTGTTTGAAAAATAATTATTAAATATAAAAATATTTGTGTTTATTTTGAAATATGCAAAATACATATAATTGTGCGAGATTTTTGTACAAGTTACTTTTATATTTGTACAAATAATTTTTGTGTGAATTCTTTGGAAAGAATAATAAAGTGAACTTAATTTAAAATTGTAAATAATAAATGTAACTGTGTAAAAACAATCCATTTAAGTTTAGGTAATAATTATTCCAGGTTTAATGTTGCCATTAAGTTCAGTGGGTAGAATTTAATGATATTTTATTCATCTGTAGAGTACCTGTAGAGCAGAACAGTAATATTTATGTAATTAATATTTTGTACAGAGAGAAAAAGAAAAAAAAACAGGAATTAATATAAGCCACTAATATGGCTTAATAAGATTTTGTTTTTTTTACAAATATATCGCAAGTATATTTTTCATTACTTATTGTCAGAATTTACTTTTGTTTATGAATCGTAGATAGATGAGAAGGATCCTCTGCCTAAAGCAATCTGTGTTCAATGTCTGGGCAAGCTCGAATTTGTTTGCGACTTTCAAGAGGAGTGTCTGCGCACCCAACAGGTGTTACGTGATCAGTATAATCTACCACCATTAACAGAGTCCGTAAGTCTTTGAATTTTGTTTATATTTCATCTGTCGCTCTATTGCTCTTTTATCATATTATTTTATTATAATTAATTTTTTTATCATATATTTTGGTTTTATGTTTTATATATATATATATATATATATATATATATATATATATTGTATGTTGTATATACATATAAGTACAAATTCAGTACTGTGAAATAATAAAATATATTTAATAAATTTGTGATCAATGTTTTGTAAAATGACGTTTTGCTGGTTTTTTTATTAAATTTTTATAATTATTACTAAAATATTACTTTAATACAATATTCTCAAACATTTTTTGTGTTAAAATTGTGTTAAATTTTTTATTCATTGAGAAATTATTATAAATGAATAATACATTAATGTAAAATACTTGTGTGAAAATATAATATCTGAAAATTTGAATGAAAATGACTAAATTTTTTCAATTATTTCTAAATTTACTTCAAAATAGAGGCACATTTTGATACCCACTCTACATTTCTAATTCGATTTTTCTCCAGACAGAGGTAAAAAATGAAGAATCGGCATTGATAGTGGGCACATCATCATCGAATAATAACAACAATATTGAAAAAGATCTTAATTCTACTAGAAGCAATCAAGCTGAGGACATAGTCAAGGATTCAGTGGAACAGCAGAAGAAGAAAAATACCTCTTCAAAAATTTCAAGAAGCCTTCGCAGTCAGCAACAGCAGCAACAAGTTTCCAAGTGTAATGATGAAATTACAGAAAAAAATATACAGGTTCAAGGTACAGAATCATCGCCGACTCGTTGGCTTAGAAGCAGACAAAGCGCAGATTCGTCTGCCGTGGACAACGAAGAAATTCCGATTGCAAATAGATTAAGAAGTCACAATATAGAAACTAATATCAGCAACATTCGTTCTGTGAATAATAACAATAATAGTAACAACGAAAGTACAGATAAACAAAGTCCGAAGCAGCAACAGCAACAGGACTCATCGGTGACGATTCAGTTACCGACTTCAGCTTTAAATAAATTATTGACGATTGTTTCTAGCTCTCCCGATATCGAGGTCTCTGTAAAGGAGACAAGAAATCGGAATAGTGATGCCGAAGATATTAGCTTTACTGTGGAATTGTGTAAGAAACAAAAGGATGAGGTATCGACGGTGCGAGCACGGGTCTTTCCCGATCAGGGCTATTGTTTAGTCGATACAGCGATCGTGGCTCTGCTGCAGAGCGAAAACAGCACAGAAGTGAACGGCATTGTGAATAGCATCCTTAGCAATACGTCGGCGAAGAACAGTAGTGCTGTGGCAAAGTTGAAAGATTTAGCGGAGTTGGAGCAGCGGTTAGAAGCCACACAGAATCCAGAGGAGCTCTTTAAAATTGATGGCGAGGAGATTAAGGTGGACGATAACGTGGAGCACGTGGTAAATGGAACGCAGAATGGCTATGCATGTAAGCTCTGCCGAAAATTCTACGAGCGTCGAGATAAGTGTACAGTTCACGTGAAGACGCACCTTGGTATCAAGCAGTATACGTGCGTTGTCTGCAATGCCAAGTTTGTTTGCAAATCTGATGTGATGAAGCACATTCGATGTTCTCATACTAATCCCAGGCCTATACAATGTCCCAAATGTCCTAAACGATTCAAATCCAAATTTTATCTAGCTGAACATGACAATGTTCACAAAGGTGTACGTCCGTACAGTTGTACAGATTGTGGACAGAGTTATCATCACAAGGTTTCGTTACAAATTCATATGAAGTCGCATCTGCCACCGCAAAATCTGGCCTGTGAATATTGCGGTAAAATCTTCCCGTTTCGCACGCGATTACTCGGCCATATCGCAAGTGTCCATATGAAAAAACGACGCAATTTTCGCTGCCGCTTCTGTTATAATCTTTATTCAAGTCTATCGGTGCTAAACGAGCATATCAAAACCCGCCATGCGACCACATATATGTGCGATACATGTGGCAAGACCTTCAAAGTCGCTTCCAAATACAAAGCGCACGTGTTGCAGCACTCCAATCCTAAGCCATTTGTCTGTAATGTTTGCAACAATCGTTATGCATCTAAAGCGTTTCTCAATGAGCACGTGTTAAAGCACGAGGGTTTACGTAAACATGTATGCCAAGAATGCGGCGCGAAATTCGCACAAGCGAGTCATTTGGCTGCTCATCGTCATGTACATGGAGAAAAGACGCACGCGTGCCCGGAATGCGGTAAAAAATTCAATCGTCGCGACAACATGAAAGTGCATCGAAAACGGCATTTTGATGAAAAAAAGACTGGCACGGCTAACAAACAGAAGGTTACATCCAACAATAACAATGTAACCGCTTTCACCACGTCCATTAACGAGAAATAACTCGCAATGACAATAGATAATCTGGAGAGAAGAAAAGACTATAGAGATCGTACAAATCTCTTAACAGACTGGACCAGAATTTTGCGAAAAATTGAAAATTCCGAAATTGAATACTTAACAAAAGTATTTTGAAGATTGCTCAAAGATAACAGCCTTTTGCGTATATACAATTAGTGCTTCGATGAATTCCCAACGTCATTCCCAATGATTTTATCTTTAACAGTACAGCCGAATTCTCTCCTTCATCTATTCTTATAACTTGTCGGGACCAATCTCTTTATTCTTAAACTTTTTTTTCAACCTCATTCTTATTTTAATAGTACATAGAATAATAATGTTGATCCAACTTCAATCTCCTTATTCTTAAACTTTTCCCTCAGTCTAATTCTTATTTTAATAGTACATACATACAATAATGTTGATCGCGTTATTGACAAGTAATGATATATGTGCATGGTATTTTTTATCTATCATTTTTATAATTATATACATGATATACATATATATAAGTAGTAAAAGAGCGTAGGAAAACATTAAAAATACAAAAATTCAAACCTCTTTAAGGACGAAGTTTTCAAGTTAAAAAGTAAAAAGTATTTTATTATGCAATTCGAAGACGAATATAACATCTGCCATCATACGCGACGGAATTTTTCTTATTTGGAAGGATTCTGTTTGTGGATACTTATTTGCCACATTGAACTAAAATTGTAAAATTACACACGTATTAATTACACTAGTTAAAAACTACACACGTATGTATCAATGTTCCTTAAGAAGATGGAGATGTTAAGAGAATAGAGTGGTTATTACAACAGTAACATTTTTTTTCTATAAAGCATTTAGTATTATTTTTTAAATGAATTTCTGTTCATGAATGATCTTTGTAATTTTGCATATTTTGTCTTTTTTATGTTTGAATAATTAAGATTTTGAATCGAGTTAAGAAATAATTAAAATATCCTTATCGTTTCGTTCAAACATTTAGTAAATAGTAATCTACTGTGTACCAAAACGTGATTTAGCTTAGTCTGTAACTATGCACGCCTTTTTTTTTAAATATATTCTTTTCTGATAATAGTAAGTCTTCGGGAAATGTTATCACATACTGTAATATAGACAATACGTTTATCGAATCACGGCCAAAAGTATATGATTAATGATCGAATAATTGCATAGTTTTATTATAAATTTTATGATTCAATGTGCGTATGTGTGTGTGCGTGCTGGTATGCATGTATGCTTGACACCAGAAATAGGGCTTCCAAAATCAATAATTCTATAATAAAGATGAAATGATATTTTCTATACCTCTTTACATGTATCTTGTTCATGAAAAATTGCAACAATTGCAACAACTTTCAATATCTCTTTTGGAGTATGTTTTACAATTGTTATTATATTAAATTATTAAAACTAGAAAAGTGTTAGACATTCGAAGTATTATGTACTTTACAAAATGTGTATATGTATTTTATATACACAATTATATGAAAAAAGTATAGCAAGCAAGTGCCTTGACTCAAGTCTTCGATATCATAAAATAATCTACAAAGAGGAAATGATTGCGATTAATAGGAGGCATATTTACGAACTGTTTTTAAATAGAATAAATGGTGGCAGCAAGGATGTTTTAAGTTACGAGCTATCAAAAGAAACATGATTTTTACTGTACGATTATGGACTATTGTATAATTAGAGTACTCAAAATATTATGAGTTGGTATTTATAATTATCTACATAAAAAAATTTCCTATAGTTTTGCGAAATGATTAGCAATATGAGTTATTTTGTGTACGTATATACATAGTTAGAACATAACATATATGTATAATTAGAAAATAATACTCCGCCTTTTCTTGATTATTGAAGACGTCCATGTTTTAATTACACATAACAGGAAGTGAATCGCGCGCGCGCGCGCGCGCGCACACGCGCATACACGCACACACACACACACACACACACACACACACACACACACACACACACACACACACACACACACACACACACACACACGACG